AAACATCAAATAACAAAAATAAAGTTACTGATTTTTGCTTTGTTAAAGAGCTTCTAAACGTTGTGATGAGAGAATTTCTATATGAAGAAGACTATCATATAAAACTTCAACACGAGCTAAAATGATTATGGCATCCTTTTAGTGACATTCTGTCAAACAATTAGTGTGCAGTGTTCACAAAGCTACACAAAACAATCCAACATTAAACCTCTTATTTTCACAATCACACATTTGCATTAAATCCTTAGACTAGAAACATTTTAAAATAATATGCTTGAGATTCATCAAGATGTATTGTAAACGGAATACTAACCATATGAGGGGAATGAAAGAAGAAGGTGAGAAGAAGGAAAAGAAGAAGAATGAGAAGAAAAAGAAGAAAGGAAGGAAGTAGAAGGAGAGGAAGAAAGACAGGAAGTTACCTGCGGCTAGGGAGGTCGAGCTCGGCAAGGCAGATACACAAACAAGTCGAAGTTCAGGCTCAGGGATGGCGTCAGCTTCACTGGTCGTGCAGGAGAGAGGAGGGGGACAGACCTCTTCCGCCTGGGACGTACAAACCAGGGAGAGGAAGGGGGCTCGAGGTGCTCCTAGTGTCCGCGGATAGGGAGAGATGGAGAGGGGAGAGAGGTCCGATAATCTGGAGAGAGGTGGAGAGTTGTGAATGCCTGGAGACCGACCCGCCTATCCGAACAAAAGACTTTCCATTCTCGCTTCGATCGCCTGCTGAACTGAACCTTTTCTCGCCTTTTACTTCTTCTATGCATGGAATCGGGGGCCTTGCCGCTTGATCCTTGCTGAAAGGAATCCCAAACTTATGCCAAAACAAGACGTCACGCAACTGAACCCTCTAAGCTATGGCAGATTTGGATTTTCGATTAAATTAGGACCATTAATGCAATTTCCAGATTTATGAATGTAATTTGAATTGCCAAAAAAGTCAAATAGGTTTAATTGGAATTGAATCAAGCAGATTTGGGCTAAATTCAAGTTCGAATCGAACTTCACTTGACTCGAATTGGGTCGATTTGGATTTGATATAGGCTAGTTGAGATTCGACTAAATCCGACTAAATCAAAAAAATCAAACCCAAATTAATGTCGACTCAAATCAAATCAAACCCGACGTGGCTGACGAGCACTGATCAAGGTTAATCAAACCTTGTCAAGTCTAACTCAACTTGATTCGAGTCGACTCGAGCTCCATTTTGGCTCAATGAGGTCCAATTAAGTCAATCAAAAATGTTGGGGGCAAATTAAAATAAAAAATGAGGCCAACAAGAACAGAAGAAAATAACACGATACAATTGATCCTCTATTCGAGAGAAGGATCTATCTCTCCCAAATCTCTAGAAGCTGCTAGAGCCCAGAGAAACTAGGTGATCTCAAGTTGCAGCCAAATTCAATATGCCCTAACCCTAGGAAAACAAACTATTTAATGCATACAAATCAAAAGGAAATCCCTAAACTGACCCTACAATCAAATTTCCCTCCTACTTCCCTCAAAAATCTTTCCTAATCTTCTCTAGGGAAGAAGGGAGTGCGTTCAGTGCATACATGAGAGGCGAAAGTTTCGCCTCTGTTCTGCTTGGGCCGGTCACCGGCTTGACCGGTTCAACGGACAGGTCTAACACACTGTTAAACATGCCAAAAAGTGCACCCTTGACTCCATAGCTTAAATTGCTAAAAAGTTAAAAGAATTCATGATGAAATAGCATGTATGGGAATGTCGGTGTGTCTACAACATTTCATAACACTGTCACCGACATTTTGTCCACATTTACACCATACCTACACATTTTGTCCACATCTACCCCCTACCTACAAAGCATTTTCTCTAAAGCGTAATGGTGATAATACATGCAGGCAAGCACCATTCTTCATTAACTATTGACATTTAGATTATGGATGAAAGTTCTAGCAAACTAGAGGACAACCTAAAAACTAAAGTAAAATTATCAAGCTCTTCTGCAAATTGTGGTGTGAGAATTAATACCTTGACTTGAGCAAAAAAAAGATTGACATCTTTTGCTTTCCCCTTTTCATTCCCAAAATTCCCCTTTCTGACTAGGTCTTCTTTAGTCTACCTCTATCTTTCATAACATAGGACGGATTTAATACATCTACTCTCTAACGGAGTCATTGGATGGCTTGAGGAGATTCTCTCTAATCTTATCTATCACCAAAGCTACTCTAACCTTTTCACGTATATGTTTGTTTCTCATTCTATCACTAAATTCAAAGTCACTCATCCACCTAAACATCTTCATCTCTGCAACTCAACTTAATTTTATGTTTCTCTTTTAATGGCCAACATTTTGTTCCATAAAACATTGCAGGTCTCACGATCATCTTTTTAAGTCTACCTCTACCTTTCTCTTTTAGTACTACTGCATAGTAATGGGATAAAAAATTTGGTTTGTTGGGTGGGAATTGAGTTTGATTTGGGTCTACATTAGATTAAACTGATCTAGTATGGTTTTTTTAGATTGGATAAGATTAGCGAGAATAAATTTATGGTATATTTAAATTTTGAAAGTTAGCTGCAAATTTGTTGGAGGAAACTAAAGAGGTTAAGGCATAAGTTGAAGTGAATTTTTATTCCAACTTATGTACAAATTTTATATGAATTCTGGAAGCTTTCAAATACAAAATACAAAAAATCAGTGATTAAAAAAATCTAGTATAGAAATATCTACAAAATATTTACAATAGGAAAGCCACAATGCTAAAATTACCCTAGGTATCCATATTCTCTATAAGGACAACTCATAAGTGTTTCCTTATGCGGTTGATGCTAGATGGTAAGTCCCTCAGATTGGTGAGCTAACAGAGAGTGTGTGATCCAAATCTATAATGTGATAGTTGTAGCAACGGAGTGAGGAGGGTGGCGTTCTTGAGCGGTCGGTCTTGTACCTCCACACTCCTTAAGCAAATAAATGGATGTCATCCATTTCAAGCTTCCCAACAATTTTTGGTATGCCAATAACTTCATCACTTGTGATCATAAATATGACATATTATATCATTTTCAAGCTTCTCCTTTATAAAAATGTCAATCAACTTCAATAAACTTTGCATGGTTATGTTACATGGGATTGTATACAATTTTGATGATTAACTTGTTATCCTATTAAAGCCTTCTAGGACCTTTACATTTCACCTTCAAATTTTCCAAGATAATTGTTAGCCATAGTAATTAATAAATTTCAATATCATAGATTTAAATTCAACTTCTGCTCTAGATCTTGCTATTACATTTTATTTTTTACTCCTCTAAGTCATGAGATTACCTTTTAAGAATGTATTATATCCTACGGCTGATCTACTATATAATATAGAACCCACATAATATACATCCCAAAGAGTATGCTATTCCCTTTTTTGAATAGAATTCCTTTGTATAGGGTTCCCTACAAATATTGTAGAATTTAGGCATGTCATAAGATGTGTTTATTATAGATGTGCAGGAATTGATTTAGAATACTAACAAAATAAGCAATATAAGGTTAAGTATCTAAGAAGTAGATAATTCTTCCACCAAATCCCTATGAGTTTTTTCTACTATTGTCTTGTGAAGTATCTCTGAATTTACCATTGAATTATATAGAGCTCTCGACAAGTATACATCTCAAGTTTACTTATATCTTTTAATAAGATTATTATATATTTTTGTTGTGATATAAATATTATATATCCAAAATGTGCACTACCTGTCATTACATATTGTCAATATAAATAAAAGTTCTGAAACTTCCCCATGAAGCAGCATGTTTTACAAATTCCATATGGCCCCTTAACTCTGTTTATATCCTATGTTAAGCATAACTTGGCAAACCTTCCAAACCAAGCTCATAGAGATTGTTTCAATCTATACATTGCCTTTTCAAGCTTACATACCATTTATTTTGTATTTGAGCCAAATCTTGGTGGGACCTCCACATATACTTCCTATTCTAGATCATCACATAATAAAGCATTTTTAATATCATTTTTTGGTATTTTCCGGTCTATACAAGCTGCTAATGATAAAAAACTCAAATAATATTTATTTTAGCTACCGAAGCAAAGGTCTCAGGTTAACCAATCTCATATATTTAAGTATAGCATTTGACCTTCAATATAGCTTTATGTTTCAGTAGTGAACCATTTCATTTGTATTGTACAGTAAAAACTTTGCTTTCTATTGGTTTTTTGTCCTTCGTGCAAGTTTACCAATTTTCATTCCAATAATGTTCATTCCAAGTTATTATACCTTATCAATGGGGATAGTAAGATAAGCATGCTCAGTGCAGGGATTACTTCAATTAAATGGACTTGCATAAAACAAGGAACTCATACCTTTCTTTATGTGTAAATCTATTGTGAATGAATAGAATGTGGATCCGGCTTGGCCTCAATTTGGATATGAACGGGATCTAGAAACTTGAGATTGGTTTGGCTGCATTAGTAGGCTAGTAACTAGTTCTAGAATAGAGTTGCTCATTGTTATTTAATGACAATGTGCGCTAAACAAGGGCAATCCAAAAGAAAAAAAATTGCCTTTATAATTTGTTATAGTTAGATCCGCATGGCCTTCATTTTGTTGCACTAATATAAAAAATGAATCACAATTTCTAGGCTTAAATTCTATTACTCTAACATGTCATGCAATCTATTACTAAAGGGTTTTTTTTTTGGGTGGGGGTGGGGGGCTGCCCAATTCTATAAAAACAAAGTTCAGATATATACACTTAAGAATGTAGCTAACAAATACAAGGCAAAAACTAGAATTCAAGACAAATGTCGGCTAAAAAATAAGTAAACAACAACAACAACATCAAGCCTTTATCCCATTGTGGGGTCGGCTATATGAATCATTGTGCCCTATTAAAAATTAAATTCTCATTTAAATATAATAAAGAAAGGTCATTTTTAATATTTTATAACCAAGTCTTTTTAGGTCCACTTCTACCTTTCTTAATATAAGTCAAATCTAATACATCTATTTCCTAACCGGGTCACCGGAAGGCCGCCGTTTTATGTGACCAAACCATCTAAGGCGACTTTCTCTAATCTTATCTTCCACTAGAGCTACTCCAACCTTTTCACCTAAACGAACTATAAAAATTATAGGATTATACTTAGAATCTAGAACAAAAGGTGCTAATGGCTCATCCACAACATGCAGATCAAGAGTAATATATGGAAAGCATAGCTAATATGCTGCTAGGTTGAGCAAACATCCTTATTGCCTGGAGACCGCATAACCAACAGTCATCATAAGGCAAAAACTAGAAAATAATAATATTTGTAGAACTCGTTACTAAAGGAATACAAATGAGGATGAGAACACAAAAAACTCAGGACAAGAAATCAGAGAACTTGGCATAAAGTAGGTGCCAAAAATTATCCCAAACGACTATTGTGCAGAAAAAATCAACCAATAGAAAACAAAATTGCATGACCCAACCAAAAACCAACTTGAAGCTTACCCTCCAGATGAATGCACCTATATTTCCATTGATTAAATAGATTCCTACCCACAATGGACCAAGAATCTTTAAATTTTCACCTCAACAATTTATAAGCAACAAGAAGCTTAACCTTCTCCATTTTATTGAATATTCTTTCATTCCTTTCATGCAATATAGTATAGACAAGAAACAGAGGTGATGAGAAAGTGTGATATTTTAGTCGTTTTGTGTCTTGAATAGGTTGTTGCTTAAAGGACTTAAGGTGGGTTTAAAGAAAAAAAAATTAACATAACGCAATAAATTCCTAAACAACAACAAGTAGAAAAAACAAGTTTAAAAAATGGTGTGAGCGGCTCTATAGGGAGTCATCATAAATTTTGCAGAAAGAGACAATTACCAACCCTTCAGCCACATGATTGTTTTCAATTTTAACCCCTCCATATAAGCCATCCAACAAATAGATAATGCATAATAAAACAACTCTTAAAATTAATATAATCGGACCATTTGACTTTAGGGTATTTTTCAAAAATTACATATCTAGCAAGAGAATTGCAAAAACAATCATCTAAATCCCAGAGAATAGTCATGACTGGCATTAATAGTCAACTTCATCATAGCATGATAATATTCAATGGTTAAAAGTTAAAACAACCAGAGAATCACAAATTCTCCAGCTATAATCATGAATAAAAGATTCCAACAAAAAAAAGGTGTAATTAAGTCCAATCTGGAACTGCAATTTGGTCTTAGAACCTCAAATAGTTAACTACCACCAGGCCATGGATCAAAGTATACCCAATATAAGAATTCTTGCTTTTCATTTTTAATGCCACATGCTTTAATTCTTCCAAGAAAGAGGAGAGTCCTCTTAAAGGCAAAACCCATTAGGAGCAACAGATAGGAACACCGCTCAAAAGGTTAGAAGAAATAAGAATTTTTCACACGCCTTCATTTCGCAAATTAGGTTGAGGGAGGACATAGAGGACAACCTTGAGCCAATTTTCTCCTTAGGAATCATAAAGTGAGCTATGTATTATTTTTGAGAACACGATTGATAATAGAAACAAACCTAAACCAATAAGATAAGTAGTTATAAATGGATGATCTAATCAATCGAAACCTTCCCTTTTTTTTGGGGAAATTTGAGGCAAATGCCCATATATTTCAATAAAAAAGAAACGTTACAGGAAAGTAAAAATTACAAGTAAAAACTTCCCAACATAAGCAAATAATAACAAAAACTTATGTGGAGAAAAAAGAAAAGAAACCCCAACTATACCACCCAAATACAATCAAATTTCAACATAAGCACCAAAACGTGGCAGTAAGCAAAAACCAAAAAGAACAATAGTTGAAGAAGCCGCACATCAACAGTAAAAGGAGAAGACCACGTCCCGAGACAGCATGAGCACTAGCCAAAAGAAAGTCCCCAGCAGCCAAAAACATATTGCATCTCCAGCGGGAGGGGGAACCTGCAGCAAACAGAAATAAAACAAGCTCCCAAGCCCAGCTGCCTGGACTCAGAAAATTGCGAAGAATCGAGGGACTTATCCCTGGTTTCCCGTAGACCATCCAAGGGAGGAACATTGGGATCTTCATCATCGTCCAGGCTTGGCCATACATCAAATACCCGAGGGACCAAGTGGCACAGGGACATAGAATAGATGACCAAAAAGTCCACCTTATAAAATTTCCAATAATTCCAACGAATTTTTCCATTTCAAAATCTTCTAAAAAATAACTCTTTTAATTCCAAACAGTAGAGAGGTGTAACATTGCGAATTGTTCCCATACCTCCTACTATTCCTCTCTTTCCACAGGTAATAAATCACAGTGCTAATATTCAGCATATAGAAGCTTTTGAGCTCATTATTACCATTGAAATTTCCTTTTAACCAATCAAATAGCTGCAGAATATTAGGCTTTAGAAGAAAGGTGTTCATACCCGGGAGCAAAGCATTTAGTATAGAGAAGGAATAAGAACATTCAAAAAACAAATGGGATACAGATTCATCATGTTGATTGCATAAGCTGCAAATAGTTGGAATATGAATTTTCCTAATGAATAGTGCATATGCCATTTTAAGAGCTCCCTTCAGAGCAAGCCAGACATAAACCGAGTGTTTAATAACATGTCTTTTGTGCCAAACCATAGAATACCAATTACAGGTCGGATAATCAGAATAATATGACACAATAAAGTTTTTAAAACAATAACTGGTTTGGTCTTTCCAAAGTAGACAGGGACCATCACACCCAATATCTCTAATGCCAGCAAACACAGCCCGAAGCTGTGAAGAGAAGTTTTCAGGAAGCACCCAGGAATTCTCCAACATGATATCTTTTATAGTCAATTCCGAAAGAGAGGCAAGATCCACATCTCCAAGGTGGTCAAGTAAGGTGCAGTTGTTATACCAGTGATCCCAGCGTAAGGAGATTGGGGCATTATGCACAATTTTGAATTTAAAACAAGATTTAGCCTGCAAAGCAGTATAACAAATGGACTTCCAGATTTTAGAAGCAGAGACATTGGGAGGCTTCCAAGGAGATGAGTATTTGCTTAACAGCCAAACAGCTAAAGGGGAGGAGAAGTTGTAAATCTGAATAATAACAGAGTAGTTGAAAGCAAATTGCATAGAAGATAAAGAAGGAATGCCCAAACTGCCATTAGCAATAGGCAATCAAACTTTGTCCCAAGCAATCATATGCAATTTCTTATTAGCTGAGATATCCCCGAAAAATAAAAACCTAGAGCTGGTTTTTTTAAAAAAATTTATGCATAGATTTCGGCAAAATGGCACCCCTAATCGAGTATGCAATTGTGTTTTGAATAGTAAATTTCAGATATTGTAACCTCCCGGCAAAAGACAACAAGTAATTGGCTTTCCATCCATTAAACTTCCTATTGAGGCTATCCAAAAGAGGCAAATAGTCTTCTAATTTGAGCTTGTAGAAAGAAAGGGGGATACCCAAATATGTAATTTTGCTTGCAATATTATAAATTGAAAGTGCTTGACAGATCTCAAGCTGATTGCTAAGGTGTCTAGGGAACATAATAGCACTTTTATCATAATTAACATGAAGGCCCGAGGCATTAGTAAATTCCCCAAAATGGACACCAACTTGTTGCAGTTATCAATGGTAGCCACCCCAAAGATTAGAACATCATCAGCATATAACAAATGAGTAAGGGAAAAATTTTTTATAGGAGATACCTTTGAAACCTTTTTCCTCAAGTAAATTAGAAAATGCATCCATAACCAGACAAAAGAGGTAAGGGCTTAATGGGCAACCCTGCCTAAGCCCAGCAGTAGAAGGAAAATAACCATCAAGCGCACCGTTAAGAACAATAGAGAAATTGACATCCGAAATACAAGCTTTGATCCATGAAATAAAAAGCCTAGGAAAACCTTTCTAAGAGATCCTAGCAAGAAAAAATTCCTGAGAAACAGAATCAAAAGCCTTTCTGATGTCAAATTTGGCACATAAAATGTTTGCCCCACCTCTTTTACCTGCACTAGAGAGGATATCACTTGCAAGCAAAATATTGTCAGTAGAGACCCTAGATTTAACAAAGCCAGCTTGATTGTCTTCAACAATAAAGCCCATGACTGGTTTTAATCTAGCAACAATAACATTAGCAACAATTTTATACAAAACATTACAAAGAGATATAGGTCTGTAATCCGATATACTTTCAGCATTTTTATGTTTTGGGATTAAAGCAAGAGTCGTTGCTTTAACACCAATCGACAAATAACCTTTCACGAAAAAAAGATCTGATAGCTCTGCAAACGATCGGCCCAAGGATATGCCAACCAGTTTTATAGAAATGAAAATTAAATCCGTCAGGCCCTGGAGTAGAAGTAGAAGACCCTTTAAGAACCGCCATTTTGATTTCATCATCCAGCACAAAATTGGCAATAGAGATGGCATAAGGTTCAGGAACAACATTCCCAATAGGAAAATGCTCCACATCAAGATTGGGGGAAGGAGGGTTATAAAGTTCTTGAAAATACTTCAAAATAGCAGAGATGACATCGGCACGGGAAGAAGAGGAGTTACAGGACAGCAAATTTCCCACCGATTTGTTGCTTCCCCTCCTACAATTAATTTTGGCATAAAGAAAATTGAGGTCATCTTCCCCAAATTTAAGTCAATTAACCTTGGCTCTTTGAATAATCCAAGAGGCTTGAATAGAAGTAAAGTTTTGCCAAATTCGCATTACGAAGCTTGTAAGATTGATTAAGATCAGAATTGGTAGGGTCTGCTTGCAATAACTCCAGCAAAGCACTTTGTTTGCTATGAAGTGAATCCAAGTGCCTAGCAATGCAATTAGAAGAAGACCAATATTCTTTTTTTATTTCTTTTTTGAAAAACCTCAGAGAATTACAAAAATGTGAAAGAGGATTCCCATGACAAGGCTTGGAGAAGACCTCTAAAAACAACGACTAGTAGCTGTCAAACTTAGTCCAAAATTTTTTGAAGAGGAATTTATGGTGAACTTGAAATGAAATCCCGGGATGAAGAATAATAGGGCTATGATCTGAGCATGAAGGACTTTGAAAGGAGCAAAAAGAATCCGGGAAGTTACTCAACCAACTCCCATTAACAAGAGCTCTATCCAATTTTATATGAATGGGAGAATCCAAGCGTTGGTTGAATCACGTAAATTTGCATCCAACATAATGTAAGTCCGCAAGACTATTATGGAAAATAAAATCATTAAAATCCTTGAGAGCAGATTGCGAAATTGGAGTACCTCCTAGCTTTTCAGATGCAAATCTACAATAGTTGAAATCCCCAAAAACAGCCCAAGGCAAATTGCCCACAGGGGCCACTTGTGCAATAGATTTCCACAAATCCTTACGTTCAGAGCTACAATTGGAAGCATAAACAATTGAAATTTGAAAAGCAGATTGATTGGCCACCGAAATCCTACCAGAGATCACCTGAGTAGTGATAAGAGTGGGGGTGAAGTTAATCTTAGAATCATTCCACTTCACCCAGATCCTCCCCGAATTGGAAAGGTCAAAATTGTGACAGCTAGCCTCATTGACAAAGAGAGAGTGCGAAGATTCAAAAAAAGGATCAAGAAACGACTGAGCATGGATCTTGTTCTCCAAAACACAGATTAAGTCAAGATTAAAAGACTGAATGAGACGCTTATAGCATAAGACTTTGTCAGGACGATTAAAACCCCGAATGTTCCAAGCCGCCATGGGAGGAAAAAAACATTGGGAAATCAGATTTAATTGAGTTTTTTGGCCTACTTCCCCCTTGCAGGTTTTTTGGACAAAGAGTTCGACACCTGATTCTTTTTAGGCAATTTTGATACCTTTTCCTTCCCGACAGCACCTAAAGCCGCCAAAGAGACAACTATAGAGTCATCAAACACAACATTGGGTTCACTAGCAGACCCTTCAGAAATAAGCACATCAAACTTATTGGGAGAGATGAAATTCTTGTCGGAGAGTGAGAGGTTAAGATATTTGAAGAAGAAGAGGCAACATCATTAGGGGAATTAAGATTCGGAATTTCTGGAATTCCTGAAATAATAGCATCACCTAACTTAGGAGGAGCATCCTGAATGGTGTTCACAGTAATTACCCGCGATTTATGAGGAGACGGAGAATGCGGCTGATAGAGAGGTCCAGAGGTATTAGGAATATCCTGCAAATATTCCGAGGATGGGACAGTAGTATTAGTAGTAGGATTCTGGAGGACGACATTAATAACTGGAGACATAGAAGTGTTCTGAGGCCTAGAATGAGGCCTGAAACACGGCTTTCTGCTTTGACTTCTACCCCGTTTAGAAGGCAACTCCTTATTTTGAGGATTAGAATCCAAATTTGGTTTGGACGGACAAGCAGAAGATAAATGCATTAACGACTTACAGTGTTCGCAAGGAAAAGGTCTCCATTCGTATTGAACTTTCAGTGTGACAACGTCACCATTCAGCGACACCTTGATCTCCTCAGGGTATAATGCATTGCAGTCAACAAGCACACAAACCCGAGCATAAGTAAGTCGCGTCTTCATCTCGGTCAGATTGTCGGCAACAACCGGAATTCCGATTTTACTGGCGATCCGGGAAATCCCCTCTGAGTTCCAACAGGCGAGGGGAAGATCGTGAATCTTCACCCAAATAGGGACTGTAGCAAAATCCTCCTTCTTAGGAACAAACTTTGGGTGCCATTTTTGAAGAACAAAGGGTTTCCCCAAAAGGAACCACACACCTCGCGACCAGACCATGTCAAAATCCTCCACGCAAGAGAAACGAAGGAGAAAAAATCCATCGTTAAGGGAGAGGAGCTGCACAGAGCCTTTTAAGCTCCACGTTCTTTTGATAGCGCCCATCAAAGCCTCGTAATAGGGACGTCTCCCTATAGAGTAACCAACAAGGTAGAGCTTCCAATCTTCGCCTCCGTTGGAAAGTTTCTCCCCAAAAAAGGGAATGATGTTTGGTTCCAAAGGGAAGTGGGAGAACTTTAGAGATTTTTGAGAAGAGTTATCCGACTCAAAAACTTTGTTCCAACTCTTGGTAGTCTGAAAAACCTGAACACCCGAAGACATACCAAGAGGAGGAAAATCAGATGACAATAAAGCAGCGTCCATGAGGAGGAGGAAGAAGATCCCTCCGGCAGCGCCAGAGGAATAAAAGGGGCGGAGAAAACACCAGAAGCAAGGAAGGAGGGAAAGAAGAACCCTAGCCGCCCAAAAAACCTTCCCTTAACAGAGAGGTTTTATTTCTCCATCCCACAAGCCAATCATTGAGCCTTTGACAGTCCGTCATTTGCATGCGACCTAGGAAAAGGGAAAGTTCACAAATTTGTTATAAGGATGTTAGAAAAAAAAACCTAATAAGAGTTAACAACAAGAGGAAAATAGACGTTGGATTTCAGGACATTACCTTTCATCCCAAAATATAAGGCTAACAAAGAATAGTTTGTATATCAGCCTTCCCCAACCCTAACGGGTCAACCACGAATAGAAGATAGGAGATGGAAATTTGGCCATCAATACCTCCCATTTTGAACCTTAAAATCTTGCGAAATAGAAACACATTCATAGCAATGGTATTTACAAACGGACATAGTGGGCAGATGATTTAATGAAATTGTTGATCATGCCATTTAAAAATGGAAAAAGGTATTTAGATATTCATGCTAAAATCCAGTAAACAAAAACTTGTGGAAAACCATTTTCATAATTTATTTTTAGAATGGATTGCCAATTGACATTGTCAAATACATTTTTATGGTTGAACTTTACCCAAAAAAAAAAATTTAATTGATTAAATAAAATAATAAAATTAAAAAAACTTTCATAATTTTAGGAGCTATAATTATAAGCTCGCTCATGGTTAGGTGCAATGATCTCTGCTGCCTCGGTTCCTAATATATGCTAATTGGGGTGAATAATCAGAGCTAGAGCTTCCTCGAATCATTCACTATAACTTGACATATATTTTATAAAACATATTGCACAAAGGAATTAGTCTACAGCCAGCAATTGAGTTGAAGTGGTTCTTTTTGAGAATTAAAGTAATGATGCTATTGTTGACCTTATTTTTGTATGAGGTCTATATTGGATCCTAAAATCAATCCAGATCTCTAATAAATCCAAATCATAAACCAATCTAAACTTCAAACCAATCCTAACCCCAAGCAAATCCAAATCAAATTCAATCAAACCCAGACTCAAATCCTAAGTCCAAAGGCCCTGTCCTAAAGGCCTTTTCTATTGAATTTTCAGATACTTCAAAACCCTGTCAAATAGTCTCTAATTCTGGGTCTGTCAGTTTCCTAATAATGGGACATGTCTCTAGAGGCAACCCTATAAATTTGAACCCATTATGAGGTGTCTAACCCCAGAAACTCATTTGAAATCCAAAGGCTGTAAAACCTTCAAATATTTATATCCTATGCCACTGGACCTGCCACCTAGTAGATTGTGACCTCGGAGCTTCCTTTAAAGCCTCCAATCACTTCCAGACCATCAATCCTGACATGTTGAACAATAAACTGCATTTTTCTGGACTCATTTCTGCCCCCAGTGGACTTGAGGTCAGAATAACCAAAATACCCCTTATGGGGCTCAAACAATGATTTCAAATCAAATGACCTCCAAATAAGATGCAACCACCTCCAGCAAATTTCAAATATCAAACCAAACCCGTTGGACCCATTTCCAGACTCTAGGTCAACCTGGTTGACCTAAGAGACCCTTTAAGGGTTCAAACAGGTGTCTTGACCCAAATGACCCATTTAAACCCTGGAATCACTCCTACTATACTCTAAATACCTAATCAAACTTGTCCAGCCCAGACCCACACCCTGGGTCAACCTAGTTGACCCAATTCTCCCTTAAGGCTTTGAATAGGTCATTTCAAACCATTCAACCTTCTAAACCCCTCATACTCTACCAAATCTACACCTAAACCTTGCTTACCCTCTATCCTATCAACTTTTCTTAAAGTTGACTTGTCAAACCGGTCAACTTAAGTTTTGGATCTGTTTCCATGACCAAACCTATGAACCTAACCTCCTTGCTTAGAGCTAGGCCTATGCTTCAATCCAAATGACTCTACACCATACCTAAATTCCACCTCATCAAATGTTGACTGGTCAAACCAGTCAACCTAAGGCTTAAAGACCCATTTTCATGGTCAAACTCTTCGACCCAATGAATCCAGCCCAAACCACATCCATCTAGCCATTGAAACATACTCTAAAATCCTCCATGATGCCAACTCAGCATCCTATGACCTGTTGACCAGTCATAATGGTCAGTGAAAGCTCAAATGAGCTCCCATGGTCAACCCCCTGTTCCACTCATACAAAGCATATAACCATTTGAACCTTCTGCAAATCACCCAACCAGCATGCCAGGGACTATTTAGGTATCACCTCACCAAACATTGACTGAGTTGATTGGTCAAACCAGTCAACTCAAGGTTTAAAGAACCCTTTGAATGGTCAAATTCCTTCATCTAACTTAATCTCTTAGGACCCAACCTATCTAATAGTCTAGATCTGCTCTAGGCATGGTTTAGACTCCAACTCAACAGCCTTGACCTCCCTTGACCAGTCAATTGGTCAACTAGAGCTCAAATGAGCTCTAGTAGTCAACCCGACCTATCAAGCCATACCCAGTCCAAACCAGACCCTTGCAACCCTCAGGATCCATTCTTGAAGGTTCTTTGGGCTCAACCAAACCCAACCCAGCAGCCAAATCAGCCCAGCCACCTTAGATGGTCTCCTCCCTTGTGAGGACAAGCCAAGAGAGTGGCCAGCTCATCTCAGCCAGTACAGTCCTTTCCCTCTGTCCCTAATGACCTGATCCAGGTGTCAATCATCCCAGCACTCCCTCTGATGCATCCCAACCGTTGCTTTCGGCTCTAAAGGCTGAATAGGGCAAGAGGCACGGTAGGGCTTCATTCCAAGCTATCTTGCATTCGAGTCACTCCCCAGAGCTCTTAGAGTTTCATTTCGATTCCTCTGAGCTCGACCTTCATTTCCTCATCGATTCTCGGTGTTTCGAAGCTACCAGCGGTGAGATCAGTGGTTGACAGAAAGCCATTTCCGTTCAAGCTTCTGAACTTCGTTTCCGACGATTCTCCAAGCTTGAGGTCTTTAAGGAAACAACACGTGGACAGTCAACAAATTCAACCATTTTTAAATCACCTCAATCCATCAATCCTAGCTCGGTAAATCCTAAACCCTAGGCATTTACATAGGTTTTTAAATAACTCACTAAAGATTGCATCAAATGCCTAGAAAACACTTCCCCATTCCTCCTTAGATCCGGTTATATCTCTGTCTAAATTCTTAAGTCATTTGGTTAGGTATTCCATGAAAACGAGATCAAAAAATATTCCTAGGGTTCTCAGTTCGGATGGAGGAGGAAGACAGGTCGCCAGCCATTGGATCTGTTCTATGTAGATCAACGGCTGTGATCAGGTCTGGATTGAACCCAGTGTCAATCATGTGGAACCGTGTTGGACCAATGCTCCGTCCGACCAGATCTGCACCATTGAATCCAGTGTCAATCCGGGGGCGGTTTGAGATCACCAACGTTTTGAAAATTGGACTGGAAGAAGGAGAGGTTCATGGTTTGACCAATTCGACCGGTCGAACCAGATGACGTAATAAATAATAATATTATTTAAAATTATAAAATAAATAAAAAAATTTTCTCTAATACATTCACTATGCATTTCACTTTCATATCAAACTAATCAAATAATATAAATATGGCATCAATGAAGTTTATAAAACATAAGCAAATAAGTAAATAACATACCTTTTGTTGAGCTCTATTGTGTGTTGGAAGTTGATGAATGCAACCATCTTCAATTCTCCTTCTCTATCATGTGAAATTGTTAAAAAATGAAATGAGCAAAAGAAAATGAAGTAAAGTATATAACAAAATAGACATTAAAAAATATTAAATTGGCAACATATAACATACCTCTTCATAACTTTTAGCAAAATTATAACACTTTATTGATAAGACAAACTCAAAATTCATAAATATAAAAAAGGTTTAACTTAATACCATAGAGACAAAAAAGTAACCAGTTTATATCAGTTTACATATAAAAAACTCAAAACACTCATAGTGAATTTAATAATCATCCACTAAATTTGTGTGATCGAATGATGGATTCTCAAACTCTTCTTCACCAAAATCTTGCATCCCAAATACTTCTGCATTCTCACAAGGTATGTCATCTTCATCACATATATTAGATAAGTTGTCTTCATCTGCAAATTATTAATATGAAATAATAAGTCTATATTTAATATTATACTCAAAAGATATAAGTTAATCAACAATCTTACTTGGGGTTGGTGTAGATGATGTTAAGTTTGGTTCTATATTTATAGGAATTGCATCATCTTTGTAAATTTCCAACTCAAGTCTTCTAAATGCAATTCTGGAGTTGGTTCATCATCAAGGATCCAGAAATCAACAAGTCCAATACTTGCATAATCCAAAGGATCATAACTTCTTTTTCTAAGCTGCAACCTACATAATTATTATAAAACATTAATAATAAAATGTGCATCATTATTTAAAAAAATATTTAAAGAAGTTTCAAATAATACCTATTTCTTAAATTGAGATTGTAACCAAAATAGACATATATACCTCGTGTACTTGAATCAATCATGGCTTTAGAAATTAATAAATCTAATGTAAATTCTTATGCTTAAACTCCTAATAAATTTCTAAAATATTCATCTCTATAAATTAAACTAAAATTGATATAAATCTGTATTATTAATTTCTCGACTCACAAATTCATAAGAATAACCTTATAGGAATAGTGAAATTGTGTCAACATTTCAAAAAAAATTTAAATGAAAATTGCATTAAAAGAAACATGACATTCAAAATTCCAACTATAAAGTCGAATCTAAAAGTATCTAAACCTCTTAAGATATCTGCATACTAATATGAGTGTTTTGTAAGATTTAGCTTTTCTTTATTATCTAACTCCATAACTGTAATAAGATAGCTTTCTTGAACGATTACTTCCAATAAGAACTTATATGTAACTAATGGTGCTCCTAGTATACCTAGGAAAAAAAAATGGTGTTCATATTACACTATAACGAACAATTAAGAATTTCTAACTAGTTGGTTATCAGAGTATTCACAATCCCATAAAATTCCATCTTATGAGTGAGTTTCATATGATCACAAAAAAGTGCTGGATACATATATAGAAAGAATAACTTGATGATGATATAAGAAATGCCATGGAAAAGTATGACTTTCCCTTCCTCTATCCTTCATATTTCTCAGTTTTTTTTTTGTCACATTCTCATTTTCTCTATGATTTTAAGTTTTATAAAGATTACATCACAGCCATTCTTTAAACATCACAGCGACGATTGATGTTTAGTTTGAAATAAAACTAAACCTAATCAACGATTGAAATCAACGCATAACAAATTTTAAAAGCTAGCGACGATTGAAATCAAACTAAACATCAAATTTTCGGTTTTCAGTTTGAATACAATCTCCTCACCTTACAATGATTCAAGCACCGACGAAGGAGGAGGTGCAACGACGAACGGCGAAGGAGGAGCTGCAGTGACCAGCGACGAACGGATGAAGGAGGAGCTACAGCGACAAACAACGAAGGAGGAGCTGCAGCGACCAGCGACGAACGAACGAAGGAGGAGCTGCAGTGAACAGCAACGAAGGAAGAAAATCAGAGACGGGAGACGGGCGGCTTCAGGAGTTACGGGAGGTAGAAAATGAAATTAGGTTTAGCTTTAAATGTTTTACTAATACTTAATTAAATTCTTAAAATACCGCATGATTAATATCAAACCGTGGAAATCGCATTAAGGCTTAAGTGGCCGGTTCTCTCCCGGTTTCCGGTTCGCTGGGTTCGCGGTCCGACCGCCGGTCGGACCGGTTCAATGCCAGTTCTTTGATTACCCGGTTTCATTACATAACCGAACCGGCCGGCCGGCCAGCCCGGTCCGATTTTCAAAACGTTGGAGATCACTTTAATTTTTACTTTTTATTTTGTTTTTTTTAGCAAGCTTGATTTGTGTTTTTAATCAACTTTTAGTTTCTATTTTTAAAATAAATCAATCTATTTTTCTTTATTTATGTAAATTTTATAAGGAAACACTTGATGGATACTCTGCTTTTTAATGAAGCTTGGTGGCTGATCCTCTAAAATTTTGATAATTATTTGGTTATCTTCCCCCCTACTCTTATCTCCCAACACAATTCACAACCTAAGTCATAGTATCCCTCAATCTCAAGAAACATTGAACCCCTATAAAACTCTCATCCACACTCCCTCACAACCCTGCAACTTCTCAGAACTAAAATCTCTATTAACCTGAAGTTATCCTAGCTAAAAGCACAATTCATATAGATAATTTCATGCTCTGAGCATTAAGATTAAAAAATTTAAAACTCCTTAACTACTAGTACAAAATCTATAAAAATACTCTAATTAGTTTCCTAATATCACAAACATTTGATCGAAAGTTCCTCAGCTTTTACTCAAAGAAAAACTTATCCTATTAAAGTCTAAAAGTTTTAGCTTTAAATTTACCCATATCACTCTTCAACCACTACCCCATGAGCTCACCAACTTAGTAATTGCATTTCCATCAAGATTTTATAGATTATATACATTAGTATTAGAGCTAAGGACACTAAGGATAATGAGCTTTAAGGTACACTTCATCTACATCATAAATTAGGTAATTTCTTTGCAAGATAAGACTTTTCAAGCTTAAAAGAAATTTAGATATCTTGCAACTAATTAATTATTTTTTTCCCTACTGAAATGTAAATATAACTATCTGAAAGCTTTTAATTGACAACTCAATTTTACCACCAATGAAAAGATCTAACATAAAATTTGTCTGAACCTACAAAAGAAAGCATTACCTTAAATTAGAACTAAAATAAGATAGCTAGAATTTATACTTATGTGATTATTATTTTAGCTTTAGAAGTGTTGTACATTGTTTATTATTTGAAAAGCTTGCATACTTTGAAAAATTCAATAAGAAAAAAAAATTATTTTTGCATGAATTAGAATATATTATAATAAACTTCATGTCCTTAAAGCAAAATAGGTTTTTTTTTTTTTTTAAATGAGCTAAATTGTATAAGGATAACTTGGGATGTTAGTAGTCTTGTAACCATTATAAAAGTTCTCTTATCCTCAATTTCACATTAATTACTATATATATATATTTCTTCTCCCTTTTTTATCTCATATATTGTTTTCCCCTCTCATCGATTTCCCATACATTTGTTAAAAAAAGCTATACTATGCATATTAGCATTCCTCCTAATTTTGTCACCCTAAATAAATTTTAAGGAATTTTATAATATTGTGATAGTTTTTATTAGACCACAAAAAAGAAAATTGTTCATTCAATAAATTTTAAATTATGTTTGATCAACCATAAAACTTGACTAGTAGACTTGAAACCCCACCTGAGTCTGAAACTAAGGAACAACCCATTTAGAAGAGTACTTATCCAATGGCATTAACATAGACAAGATTTTAGAGCTCAACGTGAATATGACACTAAAATAAAATTTAAAGCCCCGAATTGGGATAGAATTTATAATCATAACAAATTTCTAAAATGATTGACTCAAGTGAATAATTTCTTTTGATGGTATAACATAGTATTATCCACGTACAAATTTTATTATGATAAAAATTATTAGACATTAAAATCTAATGGACAAATATTTTAACCAAGCAACTTAGGAATGGAAGAACCCAGTAGACTTGGGTTGAGATGAAAGAAATTATCAAGGATAAATACTTTCTTAGATTCTATAACAATCATCAACGTGTCATTTGTTGACCTTCAACTAAAAACTATGCTTGTAGCTAACTAAATCATCACCTATCAGTCCCTCCTTGTAAAAATTAAACTACATTGATTCAGATTGGCAACTTTTCAATAGATTTTTATCAAACTACAACATGAAATTAAGAATAAAATTAAATCATAGGAGCATTTTCACTTTATTCAAATGATTGAGAAATTTAAAAGAAAAAAAAAAAGTAATATCCACCATCGCAAAGCCTAGGAACTCATCTTATTCAACTAGCACATATAGATGTACTACTAAACCATCTACCTCATCCTTATCTTCCATTGTTTCATCTCCCATTAGAGCTCACTAGCCTAAAACCTAAACCTTATTTTTAGACATTTCCTATCAGTTGAGTCAATCACATTTTTTTACCCATGACTTCTAGATATATGATTATAATTAAGATGATTAGTTATGAGGATCAAATCTTATGTGACATCCTACCCAAGGCATAGCACATATCCTATAGGGTAGACCATAGCACTATGATAGAAATATTATTCATGGATAAAAAATATTTATATAACATAGTACATTTTGTAATCACATTTTTTTTACCCATGACTTCTAGATATATGATTCTAATTAAAAAAAAAAAAGGGGAGCGCACAATTTTTCTTTTTAAGAAATTCATGATTGCATGAGAGACATGGACCTCTATGCAAGTACAACCTTCAAACTTGATATTTAATATTAGAAATATATTCATTAATAGGATTTCACAAACCGGGATCAGATGGATGATTTTTTAAATCTACTTCCAAATCTTTTGATAATTCTTTTACTACGCGACTTCTTTTCTAATTTTGCTCTTAGTCATTATTTTTGTCTCATCTAAAGTCATCAATAAGCTTGATTTTGAAAACTTCTTAAAATATATTTCTATAAAATTTAAGTCAATTTGGATTATCTAAACAAGAAAGTAATAATCTAGTTATTATTTTGAAAAAGAAACATTTTATCAAACACCACAAGTGCATATCAATTACAATTCAATTTCATAACAGGATAAACAAAACATGACTAAAAAACTAATATAAACTTTATTTTTCATCAGGAAGTCAATTTTTTTGTCTCCAATCACACATTAAAAGTCTTAAAAGGAAAGGTCAAGGGAACCAGCCTCACTAGTTTTAGGTAAATGAGCAAGAATTCAACGGTATATATAATTATATATATTGACATATTATGAGATTCAAGCACAAGAATTGGGAGGACTTTTTGGAGAAATTATTAGGTGCGGAGTGCGGACGGGAGAACCGTCTGCACACTAGTATAAAACCGCGCTCGGTACCATTCGGTACCACTCGGTACCACTGGGTACCGCTCGGTACCCCGTGTCTGTGCAGACGGTTCTCACCCCGTCTGCACTCCGCACCTAATAATTTTTCGGACTTTTTGTCCGTCAATCAATGCGCCACATCGATTGATCCCCTATATGATCACATTAAATTATGCAATCTATTGTCTATGATACAAATAAAGTAAATTTCCTCTGCAATGTCAGTCATTGAGTAATTATTTCTACCATATATGCACAATTAATAAGTAATTAAGATGGCCGTTAAATAACATCTAAAAAAGGAACGTAAAAACTGCCCTTGGGAAGATGAGGATTCTTGTGAACGCGTAACTATGCTTTATTTCCTGCTCCACCACCGACTATATTAAATGCGCGAAAAGTATTCCATATAAATAAGAAAAACTACAATAACTTTCCTTCCTAAAATGCCCCTAAGAACAGAAACGGCCGGTGGCCGGAACCGGAGAGATGGCGGAGTGCTCAGCGGCCTTGCAGCTCAGCGCGCGAAGAATTCTCCAGCGATTCTTCTGCCGGCCGTTCTCTGCTGAATCGTCCAATGTTGCCGGCGTGCCACGCCGCCTCTGCCGGTTACGTATGTCCTTCATCTCCATCTCCGCGGGGAATCTCACGGAGCCGAGAACAAAAAGGGGCCATTTTTGCCAAGTTCCCGTCCCCGGCGTCGGCCTCGGGTCGGAAGATGCCCTTCTCAGTCTCTGATAATCGGATTTCTGAGATTCGACTCGGGGCCGGAGAGTCCGGCTGTCGAGAGATCCGCCGCGGCGGTGGTTGAAATGTGGAGTGGTGGGCTGCTCTACTTCGAGTATGTTAGCTGCCAGAGGCAGCTGGGAAGCTTTGAAGGGGCGTAGACGGCCGTGGAGGAACAGTTCGTCGGCGGCGTAGGTGTCAGTGGAGGATGGGAGGATGGGGAAGGAGAAATCAATGAGGTCAGGAGGAGGAGAGAAAGGCCGGCAGGGTTTGATGGTTTCTCCCTGGCAGTTCAGCCAAAGGTTCGAAAGGGAGAGGTGGAAATTCTCCTCAACGTTGGATTCGTAGGGCTTACTGATGAGGAGCGTCATGGTTGAGGATAGTGGTGGAGAGGAATAAGGAAGGTGGAAGAAGAAAGCAGAAGAATTGGCTTTTGCCTCCGCTTTGAACCGCGCCAAGGTCGGCTTTAAAAGGAGTATGGAAGATTCTGTTGGTTGACGAAAAGGCCCTCCCTAATTTTGGGAAAGTGCAGTGGCCATATATTTGTTTTCCATAAAGGACGGAAAGTGGACATTACTGAGGAAACTTTTTCTGTTTTTAATGAAGGCTTTAATAGATATTTTTTTGTCGAGCTTTTCTTATGGACTAAAAAGTTTTGGATTCTTATTTTAGGCATGTATTTGTATTAATTGATCTAAATATTTTAAAAAAAATTTATGTTCTTTTGGAAGAACTTTGTTAATAAATTTTTAAATATTAATAAATTTTTAAATGTTTAAATTAATTGAAAAAATACTTCAAGGAACTATTTACAAACAAGCTAAAAAATCAAACGTGTAATTAGCTTCTCAAATTAAGTTATTAGCAAATAATGTTAGAAATCTAAGAAAATAATTTATTGAATAAATTTGGAATTAGTATACTACTAGTCTACTTGTTTTCACCAATTAAATAATAATACATTAGTTGCAAGCTACAAATACATTTCCTTTCATTATTTTTTAGCATCCAATGCTATAGGTTGTCTTAACCATTCTTAAAATAATCAATTAACTTAAGTTTCATTTGGGACAACTTTCTTATTGCTTTATAAATTAATTTTTTAGTATTCACTTTTTAGTTCAAATAATTTTGTACTAAAAAATTGCTTAAAAACAGTTAAAAAATATGTTTCAAATAAAGCCTCAATGAAGATCAAGTAAAAACTGTATCCATCCATAACACATAAATATAAGGGTGTCAATATTTGACACGACACGAAAATCTGATCCGAACCTGACCCAAAAAATTCCGGTTGGACCCGACCCGATTTCAAAACTAGTCGGGTTCGGGTTCCAGTATTCGACCCGTGTGAAAAACGGGTCGGGTTCGGGTGCCGGGTTGCCGGGTCAACTCGAAAACCCATTTAATTTAAAAAATTTGGATTCCCGCCCGCTGCCCCACGCGCCCGAGCCCACTGCCCCGCGCCTGCTGCCCGCGCCCTGCGCTATTGCCCCGCCATCGTGTGTCGCATCCACCCCCTCGCCCGCCGCTGTTCCGACGTTCCGGCGCCGGCAGAACCCAAAATCGGGTCGGGTCAACCCAGCAACCCGCCAGGTTAGGTCCTGGTTCGGATTTTCGACCCGTTTGAACCCGGGTTAGTTTCGGGTTCGATCCGAACCCGACCCGTGACCTGAAATTGACACCCCTACATAAATATAAAAAATATAATGATAAGAACTACCAGTTGTTTATAGGAAATAGAAAATATTAGTTTATTAATATTTAAATGATAAATATTTTAAAATATTAACATAAATAAAATATGATAAGTAAATAGTTATTAATAGAATGATGATATAATTAATAATTAATTTAAAATATTAATGATACTAAATTGTGATATATTACTCTAAATTATATAATGAAAAAAGTTTTATTTAATTTTATTTTATTTAAATAATATACAAACTATCATTGAGCTAACTATCAAGCATTTAGTTGGACAATAAATGTGTTTGCTCATGAACATAAATGAAAGAGTTGGATTGTGTTCATTTAACCTTCTAATTTTAAAGAAATATTTAGATTTATTTAATTACTAACTTGAATGAGGATTAATTGAGCCAAATCCGAGTTGTTCATGAGTACATTAGTTCACTTACAACCATATAAGTAGTGTTTAAGAGTTATAATCACAATTGTATAATATAATCGTAGCTAAGAAAATTAAATATAATAATGATAAAATAGGGTTACATTAAAAGTATATAATCACACTACGGGAAAACACGCGAATACCGTCGAATTTTCCGGCGGAAAATTTTGGACGGTAATAAACGGCGCAGTTACCGACGGATATGTTCGACGTAAGGTTTGCGTCACCTTTTCCGGCGCAACATACGTCGGAAATTCACCGACGCCGTTTTCGCCGGAAAAGCCGACGGTATAGGGATGCCTGAACCATTTCCGTCACACGTTACGGCGGAACTATTCCGGCGTACGTTACCGGCGGAGATTGCGCCGGCGTATTTAAACTCAACGAAATATATCCGACGGATTAGACGTCGGAAATTATACCGACGTAACTAGTGCCATTATACAAATAAATTATTGGGTAGCACAACATCATCAATAAAACATTAGAAGAAATCCACATGCATAATAAAAAGCACAACATGAATGCTAGAAAAAAGCTCAAAAAATACATCAAACAACAAGATGAAACAACAACATTCCAACCAACTAAGTCTTCATTTTGGATAGCTTTCTTAATATTTTGTAAAGCTGTTGAACAAAAAGTAACTTTTTAAAGCTATTGCAAAAAATAACTTTCAAGTACAAAAAATTTTTAAAAGGAGTGAAAAAATAGTGACCAAATAGAAATTATGATTACGAAATGAAAAGTAAAACAATAAGAAAGTTGTTTCAAACGAAGCCTAAGAAAGAGCATTTCTCCATTTAAGCTACAATATAATTAAGTCATTAGATAAATATAATTAAACTATATGATAACATAATAAAATTATTATATATCGATAAATAAAATCAAGATAGAAAAAAAATTATATATGGAAGTTTACTAATTTGATACGTGTTGCATCCTAGAAAATTCACGGTGATAGAGAAATATATAATGATAGAAAATTATATAGTTTAATGTCTTAGCTTTGTACACAGATCCATCACGCAATATGACAAAAGAGAGGGTGTATCATTCATAAGAGATACCAAAATTTTTACTTGGAAATCCCTAAAAAGCGGAAAAAACCAAGGGGTCTGGCCCAATTTGAATGAATCCACTAGTGTTTGCAGTCGATTACAAATGAGGATCTTCCTTGAAGAAAGACATTGGCTTGATGTAGAAAATATTGACATGTTTGTTTGGTTGATAGGACCATGGTCGACGGACAACATAGGTTGAAAAGACTGTAGTTGTGTGACAATAGTTAGAAGGACCATAGTTGACATGCCAGAGGTCAAAAAGATAGTAGTCTGATGACGAAAGTTTGAAGGACTATAGTCAGCGGGTGATGGAAATAGGAAAGACTATAGTATGACGACAAAGATTAAAAAAACTATAATCTGGTGGCTGAGATCGGAAGAACCATAGTCGATGGACGACAAAGGTCAGAAAGATCATAGTCGGTGGGCGACAAAGGTCAGAAAGATCATAATCAGTAGGTGATAGTGATTAGAAAGACCATTGTCTGACGACGAAGGTCGGAAAGAGCGTAGTTTGACGGTTGAGGCCAGAAGGAACGTAGTTGGTGGAAGAAAGTGGTAAAAAAGATAATTGTCTGACGATGGAGGTTGAAAAGACCATAGTCGATATGAGATAGAGGTCGGGAAGGATTGTTGTCTGGCTATTGAGGTCGGAAGGACCATAGTCGGCGGGCGACAGTGATAAGAAAAAACATTATCTAGCGGTGGAGGTTGGATGGATCGTAGTCGGCACACGACAGAGGTTAGAAAGATTGTTGTTTGGTGACGGAGGTCAGAAATTAATACTATAGCTGGCGGATGGGTGGAAGTTCGACATTAGTCGATGGCCAGGCATAAGTCCGGCATTAGTCGATGGCTAGGCAGAAGCTCGACGATAGTAAGCCCAATGATAGTCCGACGACCATCGATGGTCGATGAGTCTGGTGGCAAGAAAACTTTTGTTTCTCTCTCTTCCTTTTCTTCCTTACTAGGGCCCCCCCTTTTCAATAAAGATTGAAGGTCTATTTATAATTTTATGAAAGTGGCATGACCAATAAATAAGGAGGAGATCAAGGGCAAGTTGGGAGGGATTTGAATGGATTACCGATGTTGACCCCTTTGATCATGGACCGTTTATTGGGCATTTAAATGTCTTAGTGATATTAGAATTCAACGATATGAGGCTCATTGGATTTTTCTTATCGAGCCGCTCGATTCGACTGTAAGCATGTCATGTTTGGAAATCATTTGGTCATTCAAATTATAGTTTGAATTTTCTAAATGCACTTCGGGTCTTCGATTTGAGCACATTTGGGCTAAGATTGAGTCAAACTTGGTGTTGTTCGGTTCGTCTTTATGAGACGTTCAATTCGACTATAAGTTTGATGAAATCAACGTTCATATGGTCATAGATTTAATTTCGAATGTTTTCAACTTTATTTTGCCACGAGATTCCTTCTTAAACAAGATAAATTTTTGATGATATATGCATGACACATAAAATTAAGGACAAATATAATACAATATGAATCAACATAAACATCCTAACATAGTTATTTTCTTATTCTATTCAGCATCATATTTTCTTTCCTATTTTATTATCATTTATATAATCTTGAAGAAGTTTTTTTTTTCCTCAAAAAATGGAAATTGTTTTCTTTGTATTTTTTAAAGCTTTTGTGCTACACTAACAAAGTATGATGTTTTGTTAAAAAAATAGTAGTATTCATTGATACTGGATTAAACATAAATGTTATATATGCAATTTTTATACCTATACAAGCTTTAATTTTTAATGAATTGAAATCTATCTGATTTCAATGTAAATATTGATAGTTTAAGAATTTTAAATATATTTATTTAGGAAAAAATTAGAAATATATTTATTGAGGAAAAAATTAGAAAAGAATATCATGTCCTAAATTTATCAAAGTTTTATATTCATTAGATTTGCTTTAAAATCGGTGTAATACAAATATAATTATAAGTTGGTGTATTACATTCATATTAAAATAAATTCAATAGCTATACAAATTATATAAATTAAATTAGTTGAACATTTTTGCTCAAATTTTCTTCTTTTTTGTGAAAATTTTGTATCCATTGATTTATTTAGGCTTAGATTATAAACAATTTTTACTATTTCAATTGCTAAAAATAATATATTATACTTAATTTTTTTTCATAA